TACCCATCTTTCTTATCCAGACTGTGAGCCCCATCAAGGCATCACCAGGGCTGTAGCAGATCCTCACCCTGGGCTTTGGGTACCACCAAAATGACACAGCAACAGGCCCACACCTAAGTCATCCATCAAGAAGATGGAAGAGTGACCTCTGAAAGAGCTGCACAAGGCAAAGGAGGTCTCCCAGAACAAGGGAGGAAATGAGGAAAACACATGAGAGCAGAGGCACCAAGGTTGCAGTGACAGGGAGGATGCTGAAAGTGAGCAGAGATCTCAGGAATACGGACAACAATTCAAGCAAAGGCTGAAGGATGTTGGAAGAGCAAACACAAGCAAGGGAGGATCTGTAAAAAGCCTCTACCAGCAAAGGAATCACAAACAATCACAGCAGCAATCTTCCTCTGCCAATTCTATGTGCTTTTCTTGATAGACCTTCTAGACTAAGGGCTTCTTGAGTTGCTTAAAACTTATTTACTTCTTCATTTATGAGCTACAACTTTGTATTTTAAGTACAAACAGAAAATGTGCTGAAAATTTTAACACACAAAATCTTGCTGAGATTTTGTACATGCATGTGCAAGTGCTGGCACACAAACAGGTGCATTCACATCTACACTATACCTTTTCAGCAAAAGGACTGTTCCCCTAAGAGTCCTCAAGGTGAGAAAAGAAAGGAGGAGGGATGTACACCACTGTCACAGACAGGCCATGCTCCTCTGCTCCAGCCTCAGAGACAACCAGCACTGATATCACAGTCAGTTTTCCTGCAGGTCCTGTCCAGTCCCTCCCCTCATCTGTGGGAGCATCACCCCAACAGCTGCATTGCATTTTGGGCTGCAGCCACCTCTGGGGTGTGAGCCCGGGCCACCCCTGCCCTTGCAGTGCCCCAGGGACAGTGCCATCAGCCACAGACAAAGGACAGTATCTGCAGAGCCCAGGATGCAACAAGGGAATTTTAAAAGGGCGCTCCAGTTGGCATCAGAATACTGGAATTGTTCTGCTGAGTTATTAACGTCACAGCTCTGCTCCAGACCAGAGTCTGTTTTGTTATCTTGCCTCCCCACTCCAAGGGAATTTGCTGGGTGATTTTAAGAAAAAGGCAGTGACCAATTTTCAGGCCTTCTGATTGAGACACCAAAAGAGAAAAGGCATTCCTACATTGCTTCCCTCTTGTTTTTTCTAAATAAAAATAATGTATAGCCCTAACTGGATAATAAATATGCTCAAAAGCTGTCCTTAAGTAAAAGCTTTTGATAACAAATTGCCTGTGCTAACCGCTATTTTACTGTTGAATTTTTTATTGTTGCTTAAGCACTGCAATTATGCTAATAAGCCTGAGAGGATGGTACACTAAAGCATTGAATGTGACAGATATAATACTCAATAAAATGTTAATCTTACCTGAAAATTGGAATCAAACAGCCTTATTAGTATTTATGGATATGGCACCTCCAACATGTTTCTCTTAAGAGGAATATATATGTGCAATAGATACTTCCAAATATACCCTACTATTTCTCATGCTTCCACAGACTTTAATTCCAGGTGGTTATTACCCCTGCTGCTAATTGCCAGTCCCTTTTGGAATAAGAAAGGAGAGTGTTGCCTTCTGGGACATGCAGAACTCCTGCACATTGCAGGGCTTTTTCTTTGCCACCTGGAGGATGGCAGCTGTGGGGATGGGGACAGCTGTCCCCAACTCTCAACATGGCCACCAGGCTTGTGAGGGTGTGGCACAAGACAAAGGCTCTGCTCTGCCACCCTCTTACCTATTTTCCCCATATCCTCTCCTTTTATGTTCAGTTATTTACAGGTGCTGGAGAAATTACTTCCGGATTTTAAGATGGTCCTAAAGATAAATTTATTTATTTGTTCTAAAACTTTTCAGTCAGTGTTGACAGAGAACCAGACCCATCAATTCCACCACAAGTTACAGCACAGCTGATTTGGACCAAGAGCTGCTGAGCTCTCACAGGGGTCTGGCATGGAGGTGCTCTGTGACTTTCCACAAGCTGCACTGTTTTTTGCACCTTTATTTCACCACCAAGTCCCAGTCTACTGGGAATTGCTTTCTCAGCTGATGGCATAGTTTTTTTCACCACATATAAGCTTTTTGTTGGGGATTTTTGGCCAAATCCATGGGTTTCAGACCCAGCCTCAGGGCTCCAGAGCCATGAACTTCCTGTGAATAAAATTCAAGTGGTCTTCAGCACCTTGGCTTTCTCATCTCCAGAAGGAAGAAAAAATGAACTCAGAAGAGCCACATGCTTCAGAGAAACTATACTTACATTCATGACCAGGCTCTAAAGAGACCATTTGGACATAACGGACTGTGTAGCTTTCAAGTGGTGCAGGTTAATGCCTAAATAGTAGCTGCTGGTTTCCAGCTTCAGTCCTCATGTTGCTCTCATTGACCCACAGGAGTCAATTCTATTTACTGGACAGCAGAAACATCAATAACCACCCAGATATTTCCTGACTGCAAAGCAAGATTCTTATCACTCAATGATGCACGCTTCCATGGTGGCAAACATTAGGTGGGCGATATCTAGGAACTGTTTTCATGAATAGTCACAGCAAGGAAAAGCCAGATGGCTTTCCACTGAAATCTGGGATTCCCAAAGGGCTCAGAGATCACAGCATGTAACCCACAGGACATAACTCACCAAATAAAACTCACCACAGGACTCTCTGGGCTCTCTGCAGCCACGCTTGCAACCCACGCTGGTTGCACTGAGGGCAAGGATGCAGCACAAAGATGGGAACAGGGTGGCTTTGCAGGACAGAGCTTACGGCAGCTCCACAAACCCTCATTTGCATTGCAAGGAGCACAGAACTTGGAAAAAAAAATCAGTTGCTAAATCAAGGGAAACTACCAATTGACTGAGCTGGCACCTCAAAGAGCCAGGAGATGCATCCAAGGCTCCTCCACCCCAAACAAGCCCCAGCACGAGATGCCAGACACCAAATTTCAGAAACAGACAACTGAACTAGGCACACAGCTACAAAGTGCTGCAGGACCACACAGCAGCCACTCCCATAGAGGTGGCAGGACTCATCTCTGCCAAGTGAGTCTTGTCATTATTTTCAACCCTGCAGGGAAATCTAAATTGAACTTTGGCATATTGCTTTTTTTTGCTAAGCAGCAATGCTCAAATGTTAAGTCCAGTCCTGACAGGCATATTTATGGACTATTCTTTGCAAATAATCTTACCCTGACCAGTTCAAAAGGTCAGAACCATAAAAAAGAATAAAAATTTAAAAAAAAAGCACAAGGCTGGGAAACCATCACTACCATTGGCACAACCCCTCAACTTATTAACCGTCCTTGCACAAGGTGAATTGCAAGGTCTTGGATTTACTTGATTGATTGAGATCAAGAGATCATGGGGGAAACACAGTAAATTGCATCTTTCCACGAACACATTTTGCTTTCAAGATTTGAGCAGATGGTTGCAGGAATTGAAAAGCTCAAGAGGAAGAAAAAATAAAAGAGAAAAAAATTTAAAAAACAGGTACAAAGGTGACTTCAGAAAGGCATCCCTTATTTTCTTCTTGACACCATCTGCACTTCTTAGAGCTATTTGCAAGTTTCTTCCATGTCCTCATACCCCTGAGACACAACAGCTTATCTCTGCTAAACAGGAGATGATAAGGAACAATCAGACAATGGTGTAATGCCAGGGCAGACACCAGTGCTTGCTGACATTATGGATGAAATGTAAATTTTAAAGAAATCTAAGTCCAACAAGGGGTTGAAGAACTTCCCATTGAATTCCAGATGTCCTGCAAGATAAGAAGGTATCTCACTGATCTTCTTCACTGGACCAAGGAAGACAAAGCACCTGAACACCCCTCTTGTTATACAACGGCTTGGAGGGTGCCTGAGACCAGGCTCCATTTGTCATCAGCAACTCCCAGGGAAGGGATGAAGGAAGAAGCAAGGGAACTAAAGGAGCAGACATCTTCAGGACACAATTTCAAGACCTAGCTGGTGAGCCAGCAGTTTTAAATTCAGGAAAAGCCTGCTGTGTTTGCTGTCAAGACAAGACAAAGAAACACAATAGAGAACATGAACAGAAGAGCAAGAAAAGAAAAATTAAACTCTCCTCTACTTCATCAGCCCTGGAAAAAGAGAGGGAAAGTAATCACTTGGTTCCTCTCTCTGTGTTCCAAACGATATTTGTGGTTTTCTCAGTGTATGTATATTTGTAGCATTGTGTTCTCATGTCACAATTGAACAGATGAGATTACACCCCTGAGAGTAAATCCCTTACATGGATCATGGAAGTGACCCAAACTTCCAGAAACTTACTACAGAGGAACCAGAACGGATTCAACTTCCTGTTTTTACCACAAGTTTACACTACATGCCAACAACAGAGGATTAAACCTCTTCTTTCCCCTGAGTTTATACATCCCTCCACAACAACATCACCACTCACGTAACAAAGACACTGAGCACCAGCATTAATTGGTGCTGCATCAATTCTTCACCTAAACCATGCAGCTCATTCTGCATTGATACACCCAGCTTTGCCTTTTACCTTATCAGCTTTGAATAAGGTTGTTCAGATAAGAATTTCACACATTCTCATTTCTAATTATCAGTGGGTTAGTGCAACTCTCCAGAAGTCACCTAGTCTATTTTTCTACCACATGAAGAATTGGTTCTCCTAAAAGCACATCTTCTATTGCTCTTTCAACTTGTTCTTAAACCTTTCCATGACTGAAACTGCCTGATGTCCTGGGATCCACTCCAGCACTCAGCTATCCTTACTGTGGATCATTCACTGATACCTCAGCTAAATTTCCTTGCTGCAATTTAAGTTTATCATTTGTTTTATTTACAGTGGACAGATTTTGTTTATTCCCTCCCTCCATGACAAGTTCACCATTTCCAAAATTTACAGGTTGAGGCAGTGCTGCTTGTCCTCTCTTTGCCCATTCTGCTTCTGCTCACAGCACATTGTCAATCTCTGCATGTGTATGTCTTTCCTTACCCCAAGAGAGAAGGCACCTGGATATCACGAGGCTGTTTCAAGGGAAGACGCTCACCTCCAGAGGCTGATGCATTCAGACACACACAGCTACAAAGTACTCTGAAACAAGAAAAATAAAAGATTTGTCTTCAGGATGGCAGGCAGAGTCCAGTCCAGGAGTAAAGGAAAAGCCAGCAACTCTGAAGTGCAATTTTCTGCACTCCATTATTTAGCATGCAAACAGATCTTCAAAAGCAGCATCACTGACTGTAGATACATCATGCACCACCACTCAGTTGGCCACATTTTCTCTGACAACCACCATAAGAGTTTGATAAATTTGTGCTCTAGGAAACAAAGTGTTCATGGACTTTGCAGAAAGTTCTGCCAAGGTATAAGCAATACCCAGCACATGTCAAAATCAGATGGCTCTGACTCCAAACCTTTAAGCCCTGTGACAGGGGACAAATTTTAATGTTACCATTGGTGACTTTATTTACAGTGTCACTGAAACCAACACAGGCAAGATTTCCAGTCCACTCTGGGATTTAAATGTGTGTAATTATGGAATAGACCCAGAGGGCAAAAGTCAGGTCTGATGAATGTTTTTTTATTCACAACATACTCCTCACTTCCTGATCTCCAGGATGTTCTACCTAGCAAAACAAAATCTCTCACAAATCCAAGTGTTTGGTGACAACGTAGAAAGGTAAAGAAATTATCTACATGAACAGTGCTCAGAAACACAGGAGAGAGATCTGAATGACAAAAACATCCCAAATTTCATGAAAGATAACAGGCAACAAGGGAGAGCAGCAATGACACATTTGCCATCCTACTTATGGAGGCTCTCAGAAAAACAGAGAGTTAGATGGTAGCACTCACAATTAGATGGTAGCAGACAATTTGCAACAACAGCACCTTTCACCAGTAGATCACCTTTTGCACCCCATCTCATCTAAATTCCTGCCTCTGCTCAGAAGGAGCTACTCCTGCCTCCAAAGGATCAAGTGGCTTTGTAACAAATACGTCTTTTCCGATGGCTGAAGCCAAGAAACACTCAATTTGTCACTTGCTGTGAAAACAAGATGTTTGTTGCACATCTAAGGATGTGCCAATGCAAGAACTCAGTGTCTTGTCTTTTGCATGGATCATCCATCTGACTGTACGTTTGGCTACTGCATTTTGTCCATCTCCAAGTTTCTGCTTGGGATGGTTTTCTTCATCCTTTGTAATCCTACCCAGCTGCCCTGGGATTTTGCTTTCCTTCATCACTTGCACTCTTAGCAATGCCAACACTTACAGCCAGCCAGCCCAAGTGCTGTCAGCACAGGAAGGTGACACACTCCTGTTTAGCACTGATTGGATAGCAGAAGTGCTGTTTCCAAGGCTAAAGAGGAATACCTGCACCAATAACGTCCCTAAAACACTACAGAGTAGCTGAGGAGATTGAGCAATAAATGCCTGAAGGTGAAAAACTCAAAGTAATCTCAAAATGTATGTTGGACAACTGATAAAAGACTTTAAATGCATGCCCACCTTTAAGGGTGAAAGTAGTTCCAAGGACTTCAGCAGATCATCTGCAGCATCAGACACATTACCTCCCAAAATACTAGTGAGATAAGGATGTTTAGCAAGGGATAGAGATATGAGGAATGCTTTCACCAAGAAAATACACCCATTTGTACATCTGAATTACGACAGCTGTTGAAAACCATGGAGTAGCATTGAATGGCAGCCCAGGACAGGGAGCCAAGACAACTACCACATGCAATTGAAACTGCCAAGGGATTAAGTCAGGTCAAATGTAATTACACAAATTGGATCCTGGCCAGAGTGCTGGCTTATTCAAGAAAATGAAAAGAGGTGTTCAAAAGTTTCAGAGATTGAGTCCTCCTCCTGTTAATTATTTGGTGAGTCAGTCAGTGAAGTCTCAGTACTCTGGGAGGCCATCTGAAAAAGGGGAAAAAATGAGGCATAAACTTGAAAGGCATTAGAAGCGATTAGCAAAAGCCTTTGTTCTCCATGGCAATCCTGGCTGCACCAGTGCGCGAAAGTCTTTCATGTCCATGCTGAAAAGTGGCCTCAGTTCCTTTGATACTTCTGGGAGGAAGCGTTTAAATTTACAAATATCCCACTGACAGAAGTTACAGACAACAGTTGAGGAACTTCTGCATAACTCAGCCAGATCATACCCAGCTCTCGGGCAGGCAGTACTCCTGCTGAAGAGAGGAAGGACAAGACACAAAGAAGTTCACTGACACCTGGAGCAATGTCCACTCTACATGCCAGTGGTGTATGAAAGCCAAGTCATGTCAAAAAGGAGGTCGTAGCCATGAGGGACTGTGGCTTCCTCCCCCCATTCAGTTTTCAGAAGAAGGAGAGCATGCAAGGCAGGCAATAGTAAGGAGATGAGAAAGGAAGCTTTGTGGTCTGGCAGCTGAGCGTCACTTGGAAAGATTAGATCCTATTTATGCCTCTGCCATAAACCTTCTGAACGATAAGAGCAAAGTCACATATATCAAAATTTCCCGCATATTTACTGCTGTGACTTTTGTGGCTGAATAAAGATACAGAAGGACTATGTCCAGAAAAGACAAGAACTAGCAGGCAGGGATTGAGATTCTGTGTTCAACCTTTAATCAAGACTTGTACTATAACCATGTACAGCACTACAAAACATGAAGTGTTCTGAAAAAACAGGCCTTGTAAGTCTCAGTTTTGGCACCTGAAAGAAGTAGATGCCTATGCTACCTCTGTATCTGGGAGTCATCATTAGAGAGACACTCATCGCTGTCTTTGAAGCAGTTGGATGCGACAGTAAAAGCAGTACAGAATTGAAGATTAACCTTTTTTGGATAGCTTATTCAGTGCAATGTTCAGATGATGCACATGAAACAAACCATTTTTTGACTGACATAAAAAAAAAAACCAGAGAGATGAAATAACTATCTTCTCAACAAGTGCCATACACGAGGCATGTCAAGTGACATGGCTTCATCCCACAGTGACAGCAGGTGAACACGCAACTGAATCCTCTGCCATACTGATCTAGTGTGCTTTTTTTTACCCCTTTAACTTTTCATAAAACAAGCCAGGAAAATGCAGACATTTCACAGCACAGATTGGTGCAATTTGTATTAATGGCCCAAGCATGGATGCAAGCAGCAGCTTGCTTCTCTCTGTGTGGAACAATCAACAGGGACCAGTCTGGTGGGACAACTGCTACCACGGCACACCTTGCCCCAGCCCAGCAACACCTCCTCCTCCAGTGGCTTCGCAACAAGCAGGGCAAGAACAAAGAACACAGGAAAAAATCTCTGCTGTCTTGCCATGCTGTGCAAAATCCAGGGGCAAGCAAATGTGGAAAGAGTTTGCATTCTGCGCTGACCACACACAAGCTGTCATTCTTCCAAAAGGTAGTCAAGTGCTCTTCTAGGTAGCAAAAGCACAAATGTCCCAAATTCCTCATCTCTGACAATTCTCTGACAGGGTAATCACTCCCTTGGAGTCCTCAGGCACCACACAGATGACAAAAATTTATTTTGCAAATAAGAACAAAACAGCAAGGCAGTTCTTCCCATTTTTTCCCCCAACACCTTCCAACCAGCCTCCTCTGAAGCAAGTCCATTGCTTGCACTGGAAAGACCCACAAAAAAAGGCAGGTCAGAGCCAGAGCCACAACACGGCCAGTGCCACATGTGAGCACCACCACACATCAGGGGAAAGCACAGGACTGATGGTACACACACTACGAAAAAATAGATTTTTCAGCACAAAGCAGGACAACCTGAAGTGTTTCATGCTGAAGAGGGACCTACTGCCATGTTGGCCAGGGTGTGCAGGGGGACATCCCCCTGTGGCAGCAGCAGTGATTAACCAATACTGATAATGGCCTCCAACGCCTGAAACAAAGCACGAGGAAACAGCACAACAAGGACTAATGCCAAGTGGCAATAAAGACAGAGGCAAGGCTGTTGTTCAAATAAGACTTTTTTTTTTTTTTTTTTTTTTTTTTTTTTTTTTTTTTTTTTTTTTTTACTTGTTTAAAAAAAAAAAAAAGGGTTCTGCATGCAGGGACATCCTGTTCACTGTATTAAATTAAAGGGATGATTCAAGAGGGAACAGCTTTCAGCAGATGGGGGGGGAATCAATTTCAGGTTGCTATGGACAACTGGGCTGTCTCCTGTAAAACAGAATCAGATTCAGCTCTACAAACCTGAACACTAAACATTCCCTCAAATACAACACACACACTCTCACTAAATTAGTGAATACAATAAAATACAGGCTTGTGTCATCTCCCAGGTTTTTTGGCTGAATGAAGGACACACTCAAATCTGCTAATTGCCGCTAAATACAGGACTGGAGTTTGGCTCAGTGGTGGCTCTCTGACTGCCAGTCCAACACTCCCTTACAGGGGAAAAGCCCTTTAACAGCCAAATAAACCAGAGCAGTGCCCAGATTCACCTCACTCTGGGCCTTTCCATGGGCTCTGGGCTTGAAGACCATGTGCTGCTAATCCAAGCTCCTGAAGAACTCAGCTAGAAGGGACAGCAAGAGCAGCCTGAGGCTTTCAAGCATGTCCTGGCTGATACTCTCCTGGCTGAGAGGCAATTTAACCTGCTTGAATAGCCTGAATAGAAACAATGCTCTCCACCCAAGCACCTGACCTATGGTCACAGCTGCCAGCAGGAATCTCACATGGAGAGACCACTGGGAACAACATGGTGGCCATGGTCCAATGGGTGTCTTCTCCCCACATTTTGCACTAGAATAACTTGAAACATGTTTTAAGCACCTTCTCCACTCCCTGCAGGACAAAAAGCCTTGGTGAGAGAGACTGGAGCAGAGATAAGGCATCTGAATCTGTGCCCTTTCCCAGTAGCTGTTAAGAAATCAAAGAAATCAATCTAGATCAATCTCTCCATGAAGGCAATAGGAAACATTCCCATCCCACGATACTGTAAGTCATATAGAGCAGCTAATGATTTTCCAATGAAATGTACCATCAAAATATAAGATTTTATTAGCAAAATCAATGATGTGTGCAGAGACAGTCCCTTGTGTGCCTTAAAAAAAAGTCTATGAATAAACCTGACAGGAATAAAGAACATGGT